CTTAAAGAGCTTTTAATATGCTGCTGGAATATGCTATTCAGTATTAATAAAATAAAATAAAAAAACAATTCTTTAATTATCTATTGTGTGAGCTGCTCCCAAACCGGGGCAGCAAAGCCACCATTTGAAAAACCTTGAGGAGAAAAAAAAAGATATTTTTGTAACTAAATAAATGAACTTTTGCTTAAATCAGATTCACTAGATCTTCCTGGATGAAAATTCAATGTGCACTGCAATTAAACTACTTTTTAGGGAATAAAGTTTACATACACTGTAACACGTGGTGTTAGTTGCCATTATCTGTAATGACAAGATACAGCCCCCCCCCCCCGATCCTCCAGACACTGATGTACCCGAGTAACTTTACTCGTACCAGTAGTCAGCGGAAATGCAAATGTGGCTTAAGTGGGTGTTAGCTAGGTGGACTCCTCTATAAGGAACCTGAAAACAAATGCTGGTAGCCCTTCACTGCCTTTTCAGTTTGGTTAGATCGCACATCTCCCGCACAAGTAGTGACCAGTGGCCAGATCTGGTTCTTTGCTACTGGCAGCTAGAATCCATTGCCAGTCCAAGGCGTGCAAGCAGCCGTCCCTGCTGCTGATATCAAAGTGCCATACCTTTTTCCATGACCTAGTCCTAGCTGATTACTTTCAAAGCCTCTTAATATTAATAGGAAAGCCCGATATGAACAAGATGCAAAATGCAAGCGGTGCACTCTGTCTCTTGCCCCCAGCTTAAATGCTTGTTTATGGAGAAGCCCTGGGATGGAAAGGACTAGCCTCTAGTGATGCAAAAAAAAGTTTTCTTCTAATAGCACATGCACTTATAAATAAATGATCTATTCTCACATGTTTTTACTACTGCTGGGGCCTTCCTATACCCTTTGAGGGCTATTTTGTACTTCTTGCAGCAATTCTGCATCTTCAGAGTGTCATCGCCCTCTCTCTCTCTCACACACACACACACACAGTATTATATATATGCACATATATATATATATATATAATATGAGACCCTCATTTGAATTGCTTAGACTCTTTCGCTAATTTTTCTCATTTTGCCCACCATATAAATTCCCAAAGCTTGTTCAGATCTTTTCAGTGCAGGAGGCCCCCGGGGAGATACTGCAGGTTTACAGTCCAGATAAAAAATGTTAATGGGCTACTTTCTCAGCTGGTGTCCATCAGTGGTGTTCTGTAGATTTCAGAAAAGCTAATCTGAATTACACCAGCCCAAGCATTTTTAGTGGAGAATTTTTTTTTATATTTTCAGGCAACAAAGATGGGTCATTATTGGGAAAAGTTTGCAATTAAAAAATAAATAAATAAAAATCAAGCGCGCACGCACGTACACACACACACACAAAACCAAGTTTAAACCTCCTTAGAGATAATCTATTGACCAATTCTCTTTCACAATATCAAAAGGGAAAAGCTGCAAGGGTGCAAGGGGCCTAACACCAGAGGAAGAAAAACAAGGGAAATTGCTTTAAAAAAATTCTAATCAAAAGAACAGACTAGTCATTTTTTTCAAACAAATTAGCTAATTGCAATGAAATGGCAGTCCTCAAAGGAGTAACAAGTTCATCTTTCTTTCACCATAGGGGTTATAGTTCCTTGGCTTGTGCAACTCTGGAATCATTTTACTGTTTCTGTTTTTATTATCTTAAGTGCTAATTAACAAAAGGAAAAAAAAAAAACCTGTAGTTTCATTACCTTTTTGGATAATGTCATACAAGAAAAAAACTATGTATTTGTGTTTTTTTTGTGCTGTGAGAATTGTTGTTTGTAGATTAATATTACTATCATTTTGTTTAGAATTAAAAACTAGTTTTTAAGTATTGTCTGAGAAAAGCCAAAGTTAATGCGACCTAGTGGAAGCTGTAAAACCATTTGAGTATCGTTTCTGTTTTATTGATGCATTTGGATTTTGTTGTTTGATGGAATTTGAGCCAAAAAAAAGCAGGCTTTCCTATTTCTACAACTTGATTGTACTTATGCATTTTGTACCAGTGGAACTTTTTATACTGGAGATTAAAAAACAAATGGAAATTTTTGTGGCTTACTCTTGTGGGCCCCCTGACCATGGCTGATTTTCGAGTTTGATTTCTGGTTGGTAGAAAGAGAGTTGGTTTTGTTTAGAGAATTAAAAACTTTGGCTTGATTTCTTTTTTTCCCTTTGCTTATATCTAGTGTTTAGAATTTTGTCTTTAAAAAAAAAAAAGCAAGCGGTAAGTTTCACTTTTTATTCTGTATTGTGCAGTTACACAATAAGGTAATTAGAGTTAGGAGTACTCAGTCACTTTATGTGGATAAATGTATTAGTTAAAACTTTAGGGGTTTGCTTTTTTGCTGTTTAGATCAGAGTTTTTTCTGATTCTTCTGTCCTCATTGTGAACATAACCGTGTAGTTGAAACAGTCAGACTTATTTTTGTAACGTATGTTATTGTGTGATGCAGTTTTTTGCTTCTGTCTCCAATATTAAACCATTTTCCTAATACTTGTCTCTCTCTCTCTGTGTTGTATTGTTGGTGGTCATTATGTGTTGGTAATACATCTGCACACCTCACTGTTTCACGTCCCTGTTTTTTTTTTTTTCTTTTCTATTTGTCAGTTGTGCATAAAAGATACAGTCGATTCCAACTAAGTGAATATCTGATTGGGGGGTGAAAGAGGACTTGTACACTTTAGATACGCGCGGTTGCTATTACATTCTTTCCCTTAGTTGTGGTTTATCCCTTGGATGATCTGAGTGGAATATCATCTTAACCTGACGGCCCTGCAAAATCACACTGAAGGTGGCTTTTGTTAGTCTTCTGACTACAAAAGTTGATACACACAAACACAAGCAGAGAAGCTGAAAGCCATGCAACAAGGCTTTTGCTCTGACGTTTCATTCTGTTTGGAAAAAGTGGACCGCAAAGATCAATTTTGAACAGTGATATATGTTTTAAAAATGACTGTGCCACTGCTTTGCAAACAGTCAAGAGTGGAAGGCTATAGCCCTGGGATTTCTTCCAAACTGCACAGTAATCTAGTGGCATATGGCATTAGTCAAACCCTCCTTAGAAGCTAATCACATTTTAACTACAGCTACGAGAGCCTGAGAAAAACCTACCAGGTGAACAAGTTTGCTATATGCAGTATATGTATGTAAAAAATAATAATAATAATAAAAGCTAAATGAGCCCAGAGAGAGCTTCTAAGTATTAAAGCCGGGGGGAGGGGAGGGGGTTGCAAATCACTTGCTCAAATGAGCCATATTTTTTGTTGTGAGCTTGCAAAACGGATCTTCCTCCGTGTGGCTAATAACATTACAGAAATCTCCAAGGGGAAAATAAATATGGTCCTTCCTCCCCACCGCCTCCTCTTCAGTCACCTTTGTGCCCACCCAGAGGCAGAACAGGGCAGCTTGGCTCCTGGGTGCTAGTGGTGGTGGTGCGGCCGGTCGATAGCAGTGGTGGCTGTCTTCATTTCTCCCCCCCCAGTCAGGGCTCAGGGCTGCTGCCCTGGACTCCCTGCCTTAGTTATGCTACTGCACCAACCTACTCCCCACCTCGACACACTCGACACTCTCCGCTTTCCCTAGGACGGGGGCCTGGTGGAATCAAACACACTCCGCAAAGGGAACTATACAGTGTTTGGGTTCACAAAAGTCTCTCCTCACTCTTTGGTCTGAAATAAAAGCTAAAATTGGAGCAGGGAAAAAGTCCAAGGGCCAGGGCAGGGGAGGGAGGAACAAGCACTCCCACGCGCTCTCTGGAACTGAAGCCATACACCCACTTCCCTTTCCTTTGTCTCACTTTCCGTGACGCTCAGGAATCGAAGGCCACTTAAAAGTGCTCTTATGAGACCCAATCAACACTCCTTCTTGTTTCATTTTTTCTGGACTTTCTGTGCTCCGGCTTTGGCTCGCACACAGACACACCCTAAAACGGTGTCTTATTGAGAATGAGGTCATGGCGCACTGACTGTTTCCTTATGGTTTCAACAGCTCTGTTGGCTCCCGTGTTTGGACCAGTTTTGACATTTTCTGGTGACTCCTGGGTTGGCCTGGTTATGCTTTTACTTTCTTTTTATTTTTTCTTTCCCCCTTGACTCTCTTCTGTGAGCATAAAAGGCAAGTAGGCATTGAGGTTGGAAGCCCAAGCTCAAGACATTGCCCATTGAGTTTATTGTCAACCTCCTGCCAGGACCTCCAATGCAGTTCTGGTTTTAATCCAAAACCACAGAAGCCTGTAGGGAGCAATCCAGCACTGAAGCAGACAACATGGTTTAGAGGTCCTAATAATAGGTCTTGAGCATCTCTTGGTGCTGAGCCTAGGAACACTTATCCCAGTGATTTCAGCTGAATAACTCCTGCTTTTCCCACACAGGAGATTAGAATTGGGCTTCATAATTTGAAGTAGTCGTAGGCAAGTGGTTTTTTTTGAAACCCCCCACCATCTTGCAAGGAAGGAAGAGCGATTTATACCGTTGTGAGCTTAGAATTGGGCTTCCTGATTTTAAGTCCTTTGAAACTCAACGCCTTGTTAGCGAGGAAGCTCTTCAGATGCAAGCTCTTTTCTTTGCAAACACCATCTAAAATGTCCTAACGCTACAATAAAGGAAAACATTTGGGATATAAAGCCCCGGTTTAAAAAAAAAAAAGAAACACCAACAACCGGGAAAAACGAGTTCCCTAAAGCAGTGTGGCTCTACACTTTGTCCTGCTTAGCTGCCTGCTTTTAATTTCAATTATGGGAGACACCTTGTGGTGTTAGCAAAATGTCTCTTTGTTAGCTGCATGTGCATCGCCATGGGAAATTGCCAACTGTCACAAGATTTGCTGATGAAAGTAGTCCATGCCAGAGTGTGTGTGTGTGCCTTTGCCCAGTTTGGCTTTTAGGTATTAGGCTAGGAAAAACAGCTTAACAAAATGTACTGTGAATCATTCCTGATAAGTGAATAAAGCATTGTGACCAAGCAATCAGATTATTCACTTATCAGGAATCGACTGTACTGCTAGTTCACTTGACTGTTTTTGTTCCTCATCTCTGTTGTAGTTTCACTACTTTGCTGTGTTCTGTTTTTCTCTCATGCTCTAGAAAAATCACTGGGAATATCCCTTTGTGTGACCATGCAACGTGCTATGGAGTGAAAAAAAAATTTATATATCTATATATCTTAACAAAATCTATGCACTGCTATCAGGAACACAATACTGGATGTGTCTTATATATATTGAACTATAATAGTGCTCAATTTCTTAAATAAAGCTTAAGAAAGGATTCTGTTGTCTGTAAGATTTTATGAGCATTAAAAGAAAGAAAAAAAAAAGTGTTTCTAGGGTTCGGGTCTTTTTATCTGTGTCAAATCTCACCAGGTTTACAACTTAAACATGCCCAGGTAAATACGGCACGCAGAATTTGTTCTTCCCATGAGAGCCGACAACCTTGGAAAGTAACCTTCCTAAGGTGGATTAAAGAGTTGTACCCCACCGTGAACTGCAGCAAAACACAGCACTTCGCCACGTGGTTATCTACTGACTGTCAAAGAAATAAACCTCTTGACTCAGTAGATATAATGAAGCCATATTTAAACTTCAGAAAACACTTGAAGTGCTAGAGTCTTTTTGTGAACGGGGACAGACCCTTGTTTCTGAATGGGAGCGCTCTCTTTCTGCATATCTCTGGAATATGCTTAGAATAAAACTGTAACCAAGAAGCCCACGTGTGTGGTGCTCAACAGCCTGAACTGTCTTTTGAGCAAGACAGAAGGCTTGGCAGGCGGGTTTTCTGCAGGCAGGCCTAGAGAAAAAAATTGATCATCAAAGATGACAGTTACATTTTTCAAAGCTTTCTGTGGAATTGCAGCTATGTGGCTCCCATCGACTTTAATAGGAGTCTCACAGCTAAAACCCCGCCAAACGCTTTGAAAAATTTACCCCCCAAGGTAACGGAGCTGGCATGAAGGCATAAGGTTAAAAGGATCCTTCCACCTCGATACCAGCTTGTGATAGAGATGTCCAGACTTGTCACAATTAGCAAATTTAGGGCACTCTCCGCCAAGATAAAGCGAGGAGGAAGTGAACTACTTAATCATACTACATCCACCGACAGGATCATAAAAACTCATGGCTTGCTGATGATTTCTTGCAGCATTTTCTTTCTGCCGATGAGCCGGCCATACATGCTCAGCAAACTTAATTAAACAGTGACATCCAGTGGCCAGGCTCTTTAGAAATGTGTACCTCCTTTGGGGCAGGGACCGGGAGTCACAACCCAACCCACTGGCGTCGGTGTGAGTGGGCTCCAGTAGGACCTTGGCTGACTCCCATGTCTTCTTGTGCTGCACAAAACACAGCAGGCTGGGACCCCAATCTGGATGGGATCTGTGGGGCACTGACACAGATTAAATAATAGAGGCGGTTAGCCCCTGTTCGTATTCCCTCTGATTTTTCTCATTAACAGGCTTTCTCTTTCCACTAAAGGGATCTGGAAAGTTGCAATCATTTTCTGAATCATTCACCCACTGTTAATAACCTGATTGTGTTATGTGAATGCTAATATTTCCTTCTCACACATTTATATCCATCAGCTAAATCAGCAGTAAAGGAAACCCTTCTGAGATACATTCCTATATCAATTAGCCAGGATTTATGAACCAAAGCCCCATTAGCATTAATTGGTTATGCTCTTTAGCATAAACAATTGGTTATAGGTCTGGTGGACTTTGTTTTAGAAACAAACAAGCATCCACCATGCATTCAGCTGCTTGAGAAGGAGCTGCTTCAGGTAGCGATGGGCCATTCCCAAGAGGCTGCGCTGGGGCACATTTTCAGGCTAAGCGTGAGAGTCAATTATGAGGGTACCAATAACAGGTGTGTCAAGTTGCAAATCTTAGAGTTGGGGCCCTTGAAAAACTTTAATTTTGCTCATATTTTCTGGAATAATAGCTAGCTGCCGAATGCTTCATGGACCTCATTCACTTGCTGAAAAACCAAATGGATTTTTCTGCTCTTCCTCATCGACACATTCAGTGAGCAGCCCCGGTAACTTCTCCTGATTCTGCGTTCACGCCCCCGGGCAAAATGTGCCAACCCCCCGAATCTATTTTGCCCAAGACTTTTGGTGCTTTCCCACTTAGCTCTCTTATACGGCACAGCAGGAAACAGTCCGGAGCCAGGAAAAGGGCCTGTGCTTCCTGGCTGAGCGCTTGGAGTTCAGGCCCCGCCAATGACCTGAAAAGGGGTTTATTTCACAGGCTGAGCTTAGATTTTCCCATGAGGTCTTTCACCATGTAAACAGCTGCCAGCTGTGCTTCTTGAAATGCTACTGGAAAGAGTTCAACATAAAAGCTAGATTAAAATGTTAGAGCGTAAAATAGTTTCAAGGTTCAGGAGAGCCGGTCACTTGGTTCCACATCCTCAAAGGGCTGTGGTTTATTGCCTTTGAGGGTCTGTAGGAAGGACAGTGTGTACCTGAAAGCTTATCAACCCTCTCTCAATCAATGCAGTTG